TAGGTACATATTTCCATTTGTGCATTCTATTTTATTCATTCATGAATTCCATGCTTCTATTTGATTCATTTTCCTTCAACTACAAGATCTTCCTTTAAAATTCTGTAGTATTGCTGTGCTTCTAGTTGGCTCTCTCAGTTTTTGTTTTAAAGAATCTTTGTCATATGTTTGAAGACTATTTCACTAGTTATACAAGTCTGAGATTCAGTATTTAAATATTTTCCTGTGGCATTTAAAATTATTTTTAAAAGTTTAGTTTTCATACAATGTTTTGATTGTATTATTTATCCTTCTCCAAGTCGTCCTAGATTCTCTGCATCTTACTCACCCAACTCTTCATGTTCTATCAAAAACAAAATACAGGTATTACCAAACCATAACACACGCACGCACGCACGCACACACGCACGTACACATAAACAAGCACTCATGCACACCAAACACCAAAACACTGATTAATTACTCCTGAGCATGAGTCCTGCCTTTCCCTCTGTAAGGAAGCATCAATTGCAAATAACTTCTTGGTTAAGGGTGGGACTTTATGCCCACTTCCCCCTTTCCATGCTGGGATTTTGTTGGGCTTGAATTTTTACAGGTTTTATACATGCTATCACAGTCTCCGTATGAATTCATATGTGCAACAGCTCTGTTGTGTCTGGAAGACTTGTTTCCTTGGAGGCATCACTTCTGACTCTTAAAATTTTTCTGCCTCATCTTCTGCATAAATTCCTAATACCTGGGGGAGGGGTTTGATATAGACATACTATTTAGGGCTGCATGTTCCAAGATCCCTATTCCATTGGGTCCCAACAAAGTCTGGTTTAATTCTCTTTCTTGAGATATTTTTTGATAAATAGATTTCAGTCATCTTTAAGAATTCTTTACCTTTTCAAAATTGAATTTACCTAGGGGGCAGTTTCCTTTGTGTTTATCTATTTGGGACTTAAATCTGTGTAATAATTCTATCAAGAATTTTGGTAGTTCCTTGTCTATCTCCAGATAGTTCTTGATTTTTTTTCTATAGGACTTAAACTGTTTTACCAGCCACTACATGTTGTATATAAAGGAATCATGGAAACTAAATTCTTTTTTTAGTAGAAATTTTGTACTTTCAGGTGTGGGCATATACCCTCCATCCAGTAAAGGATTAAGCTAGGTAGACACAGTCATGCTCTATGTTTAAATGTACATAGGAAATGATTTGGGTGTGCTTGTGGTAAACTCTTCATTCTAATGAGGCTTTATCTACTAAACATCTACTCCCAAATAAACTTCTTAGGTGTTTCTTGGAATTTTTTTTTGGCTCAGTCTCTCAGCACATCCATCAAACAGTGCAAGTTTCACCAAGAAATAAGCCATGCATATGGGATTTGTGTATATTGCAACCTGGATCAGCTTACATATCAAATAGTTTACTGCTTTATTTTTCCCATAGTAAATTGACTTTGTCTATGCCAAGTTAAATCCTCAGCCTAGACTTGGACTTGGCAAACATTCTCACAGAATTAGTAGGCTCATCTATAAGGTGGACAGCACTTCATGGAATTTTAGGGTTTTTTGTTGTTGTTGTTTCTGCACAAGCTGTATGCTATTAAAAGAACTTAAATTTTTATATTATTTTCTTAGATGTATAATAAAAGCACTGATTTTCTACCACCTATGACATATTTTTCACCTTCATAAGAACTTATAAAAATAAGTAATGTAGTAAAAATAAAAATATGGTGACACACACCTGTAATGTCAGTTATGGGGAGGTGGAGACTGGTAGGTTGGGTGCTCAAGGACACCCTCTGTTATACACAATTTCAACACCAGCCTGTGCTACATAAACATTGTTTAAAAATATAATGGTTATAAAATGCCCAGCCTGTCAATAAAGGCTCTTTCCAATATAATCTCAACTTGCATTTATAGAGTACATCCCAGTTTCTGAGTCCTGACTCTGATCCCCAGCAGCATCACTCAAAAAATCTGCAAACACCTCTCACCATTTTATGCGTTTTTGCTTATTTTATTCCAGCTTTTGGTACAGCCTTCCTATTTCTAGGTGTTAACCCAGGCTAGTCTTGAACTATATAGGGCAGGCTGACTTTGAACTTGGGGTCCTTTATCAGCTGTACTGGGAGTACAGACATGCCACAACAAACTACTAAATACAAATTTTTGAATTGTTCCCCTAACTTTTGACTTTACCTAGTCATCCATTAATAAGTGGTCACGGTTGTAAATAATGCTAAAATGGATCTAAGAATACATATAATCCTGAGGTAATTATTTCATTTCCTTCATTTATAAATCCTGGTTAGAAATTGATGGATCATATGGAAGTTCCATTTTTGATTTTTTGAGGAATTTTTATTCCTATGCAGAGGAGTACAAAATTCTCTTTTCTTTTTTCTTTTTCTTTTCTTACCAACAGGGGTTTTCTTTTACCTTTTGATAATATCCAATGAAATAGATGTGAAGTGTATCTTACTTTGTTTTTCATTTGCATTTCCCTATCTTAGTGATAGTCATTTATATCTTCTCTGGAAGAAATTTTTTTTTCAGATTCATGGCCCATTCTTAAATAAGGTTATTTTTTGTAATAAATTGTTTGAGTTCCTTATATATTTTGTATATTAACCCCTTATCTGGTATATGGTTTGCAAATATTTTTCGAATACACAGGCTGCCATTTCACTTCTTGCTGCATAGTATTTTAGTTTTATGTAATCCTAGTTATATCTTTTTGCTCTCGTATGTGCTTTTGGCATCCTATCTAAACAAATCCCAAAGTCAGTATTTCTTCTTGGAACTTTATGATTTCAGATCTTATATTTGAGTCTTTCTTCTGCTTTAACTTTTGTGTGTGGTATAAATACCCCATTTTATTATTTTTGTATTGGGGTTATCCAGTTTCCCCAATACAAATTATTGAAGAAGTTCTATTTTTTCTACATTGTATATCCATAGCTCCCTTGACGAAGATTAGTTGGCTATAGATGCTAATATACACACTTGAACCCTTGAATCTGTTTCCTGAGTCTGCGTGTACATTCTCTTGTTATTAGCATACTGATTATGGTAGCCTTTTAATATAATTAGAAGTCAGGAAATATTATCTCTTAGACTTTGTTCTTTCTCCAAACTGCTTTGACTATTAGTCTTCTGGGGTGTGATATGGGTTTTAGAATTGTTTTTGCTATTTCTGGGAAAATTCCACTGGAATTTTGATAGGGATTACACTCAGTCTGTAGACTGCTTTGGTATCACAGACATTTTAACACTATTTATCCCAATCCATGGATAAAAGCTTTCCACTTCTTTCATCTGTGTTCTATAGTTTTCAGTGTACAGAGTTTTTACTTCCTTATATTGGCTATAAAATTTCTGACTGTCAGGAATAACCCTCCAATCTAGATCTCTGAATTCTCTATAATAGTAAGCACAGGGCAGGGAAATCCCTAAGACCTTTATCAAATCACATCAATCTATTTTTAGTATCTAAATTTTAACATTAATTTCTAAGCTGAGGACAGACAAACTTTCTGTTTCAAGAAACCTCATGTTCAGAAATGTCAATCTACTTATTTCACTGCAGGATATTTTCCTCTACAATATTCTATTTGTGTCTTTCCTCTGTCCTCCACTCTTAGACTGTAATAGATACCTGCTCTTACACTTAGACTGTAATAGATACCTGCTCTTACACAGGTATTCAGAAGTACACACACAGAATTACAATCACACAAAATTAAGTACAGTAGTGGTTGTTTCACGCCTGAAAACCTGGAACACTATGTGTCTGTAGGGGTTAGATATGCTGTGTGCATCAAGGTATACCAGTATTTCTGATTTTAACATACATTACACAGAAGAAAATTACTATGTTTTCATAAATGCCCAAGTAAAGTAATTTTCACTGATTATCTTTTATGTCAAGATTATCTTTTATTCATATCAGTAGCTCAGTAATTTGCTTGTGCTGTATTTGATTATATTTTATTCATGGTTATTATAGCTTGTCCTTTTTATAGCAATGTATGTACTCCGTTTTTCAAAATCAAAAAGAACATTATTCCTAACTTCCCTGACAGATCATAATATATTAATACCTTGCATTTTACTTACCCATTTAATGCTAAGAGTTTTTAAAGTGTTCATTAGCTATTGCCTAATTAACTGTATCTGCTAACACTGTTGCAAAATGTTTTATATTGGAACATACCTATTCAGCTACTTCACATAACCAACAGAAAAAATATAAGTCTTCATGTGCAACTGTGTTACTAATGAAAAACAAAAACAAAAACAGAATAGCTCATATCAAGATGGTCTGTTTTTAAATGAAGGCTTCCAACAGTAATAGACTACTTTAAAATCATGTAAGTTTTTGTTGGGGGGGATCATACAGTTGCCAGCACTTACTCTTGTAAGTGAGCTGCTAACAGTGGGAAAGTATACTCACACTTCTGAGTCCAGTATCAAGAATCATCTGCTCATAGATCCTCCAAGCTAGCCTTTAGAGTATAAAAGTAATACTCTGCTTGGTAATCTACTAATTTGTTAGTTTTACAGGTTGGTCTGGAATTTGTATCAAAAAGACTGTTGCTGTTTTATTTTTCAACAACTCCAATTTTTTCTTCTGAGTTTCAACTCATTATAGGATAGGAAAGGGTGAAAAAGACAATACCAACTAAATGTGACAAAGTATCAAGTATAGTATATATCCTTGTTTAGTAAAATCTTTTGCTTTTAATATGCTCTAAGATACAGACAACTTAGGAGATAAATTTATAAAGAGTCTAACACTCTTAATTCCCCATGGTACAGTTTGTTTGTTTGTAACTAGGTTACAACTAGGTTTTGATAACAATATTATTTTGATCAAAGAGAAGAATGCTCTTTCCTAACTGGTGGCTAAGTATGATAATACAAGAAAATTACGAGTTGACTGTAAAGGTCAAAGACGGCATTTTTAGGTTTGGGGCACCTTTGTTGTTACAATAAGTTACCTTTATAAGTTGGGACAGTGTCCAACTTTCCTTTTTTAACTTGTTGTCTTTCCACAGGCCGGACTTTTACCACAGGCTGCACTTCGAAAGGATTAAAATCTTGTTTGTAGGTAGTACCAAGATCAATTTTCCCCTGTTTGGGTTTATATTCCTCTGGTATGTGGCGAGTCTGTTTGACTACTTCATAAGGACGATAATCTGACCTGAAATATATATGTGTGTGTGTGTGTGTGAAACACAGCCTCAATGGTTCTTCTGTTTTGATTATTACAGTACCGAAATCTTCAATTTTGTCTTACTTGAACAAACTAAAGAGATATTAAAATTCTAATAGTTGATTATTTGAAAGAAGCAATTGAATAGTTTTATAAGTTTCTATCCAATGACAAGAAAAGACATGACAAATCCTAGTTTTTTTTTTAAATTGAAGCATCTCAATTTGATCTTGTAAGTAAAATTCTCAAGTAATTTATCTAATGTAGAAGGACTCAAGAGAAAGATTTGGTGAGCTTGTTGGGACCCAGCCCCCAAGGGGTCTCTAAGAGTTGTTTTCCAGCATAACAAGAGGTACCTCCTGTTTTCATGACCTCACCTCACTAGCATCAACATCCTGTTGTGACCCCTTATACCTGGGGATTTTGTAATGTTGTATATAAGGCTGCTCCACAATAAAGGTGGGAGACATTCTCTCAATAAAGGACTGGATGTCTTGTCATTCATCCAAATCTCCAGGCTTTTGCCTGATACTCGAACTTAGTGGTGGCCAAGAGCAGCCACACTAGCTCTGCATTCACTTTGTCTAAAGCCACATTCACCTACGTAGACTATACTTAGACATAGTGTCTTCCTTCTGAAGTCACATCTTCCTGTGCATTGTTAATGATCACTAACACTAGCCAGAACCTGGAAGCAACCTAGATGCCCCTCAACTGAAGAATGGATGGAGAAAATGTGGTACATTTACACAATGGAGTACTACTCAGTGGGAAAAAAAAGCAATGGAATCTTGAAATTTGCAGGCAAATGGATGGAACTAGAAGAAAATATCCTGAGTGAGGTAACCCAGTCACAAAAAGACAAAAATGGTATGTACTCACTCATATACGGATTTTAGACATAGAGCAAAGGATTACTAGCCTACAATCCACACTGCCAGAGAAACTAGGAAACAAGGAGGACCCTAAGAGAGACATACATGGTCCCCAGAGAAGGGGAAAGGGACAAGATCTCCTGAGCTAATTGGGAGCATGGGGGAGGGGAGTGGGAGCTAGAAGAAAGAGAGGGGGAAAACAGGAGGGGGGAGGAGGACAGGAGAGAGTAGGAAGATTTAGTCAAGGAAAGAATTGAGATCAAGAAAAGGGATACTACGATAGAGGGAGCCATTATAGGTTTAAAGAGAATTATGGCAGAAATGACCAGAGATCTACGAGTTTGACCTCAACTAACAATCTAAGCAGTGGTTGAGAAGCTACCTTAATGCCCTTCTTTGATAATGAGATTGATGACTACCTTATATGCCATCCTAGAGCCTTCATGCATTAGCTGATGGAAGCAGAGGCAGACACCCATAGCTAAACACTGAGCTGAATTCTGGAATCCAGTTGCAGAGAGGGAGGAGTGATGAGCAAAGGGGTCAGAACCAGACTGGAGAAACCCACAGGGATAGCTTACCTGAACAAGGGATTGCTCATGGACCTCAGACTGATAGCTGGGAAACCAGTATAGGACTGTTCCAGACCCCTGAATGAGGATGTCAGTTTGGAGGTCTGGGCAATCTATGGGGCCTCTGGTAGTAGATCAGTATTTATCCCTAGTATATGATAGGATACTAGGAGCTGGAGTGATATTCTCTCAGCCTAAGTACACAGGGGAGGGTCTATGCCCTGTTCCAAATGATATGACAGACTTTGAAGATCCCACATGGAAGGCCTCACCCTCCCTGGTGAGCAAAAAGGGGTTGGGATGGGGAGTGGGGGGCAGGGGAGGAGGGGAGGGAGAGGGAACTGGGATTGACATGTAAAAGAAGCTTGTTTCTAATAAAATAATAAATAAAATGATCAGTAACTCTAGCTCATAGTGCAGATGTGAGCTTTACTAAGATTTTGGATTTCTCAGAACCCCTGGCCATGGATGGGAATGAAATGGCAATCTAGCCACCCTGTGCATTATATAACATTATTGTGACAAAGGTGGTACTGCAGGGGCTGAGACAGAACAATGGAATAGAGAAAACCAGAGATTCAAGGCTAACTGGGTTTTCTGAATCCAAATCCTGGCTCTGTCATTCAATAGCTGTATAACCTTGGATAACTTAGTTAACCTGATTATGCCCTAGTTTCCTTATAAATAACACTGGATAATATTATCATGTCCATCATAGTTATTTTACAGATATTTGTCAATTCTGACAGTTACCAAACTGAGCTACAATTATGATGTCAAAATCAAAAACCTCATACAAAAACCTCTTCCTGTATTATATTAACATATAGGATAGAATGACATTTACTCTTTGTAGAGATAAATAACTCTTAAATTTTCTAGTCAATATGATCAACATGAGTCAATCATGTAAGAGTTCTAAGGCCCTGCTTTTAGGAATGTTGGGTACCTACTCTAGATAATGGGTATTGTACTAGGTTCCTGAGGATGGAATGCTGAGAAAAGAACAGATGTACATCCTACTGGTGTAGAACACTGAAATGAATCTAACAAATAGTAAGATGTTATGAGAAATTATAAGAGGGATATTTACTTGGCCTCAAAAACAGACAAGGTGTCAGAGATAACAGTTACAAAGAAAAATTGTGTTGATATTTATAGATGGGATGTGTATTACCTAGGAAAAGAGGGAAGGAGAATTCCAAACAGGGAAAACAAACTAAAGAAGCAAGCAGGATTTGATAATCCATGTAGTAGTTATGGAAGGGATTGAGTCTATGCTAAAAAACAGAAACTTTTAAAAGCATTTTAAGTAGGATCATGATAGGACTAAATCTGCACACTGAAAAGATTGCCTTAGCAGGCTAATATATTAGATACCAATCAGAGATGCAAAAACTAGAACACACACATATACATACCCACACATACATGTTAGAATGCACATAAGTGCAAACACACACACACACACACACACACACACACACACACACACACACACACACACAAATTAGGAAGAAGAGGTATTCCTCTAGATGGTGGTAACAGTGAAAAGTACATAAATATGAGATATTTTAGGCAATTAAAAAATCAATAAAACCTTTTGTTTTTCATTCTCTTTGCCTAAGTACTTAATTCCTACCTTTCTGTTTTTCTCAAGTTGTAAATTAGTTTTTGCTTCTAAAACTATTTCAACTTAATTCAACTAGCTAGTTAAATGTAAATAATAAGAAAACTTTATTAAGGTCAGAAGAGTTGGGCAAAAAGTAAACAGTTTCTCAATATTTACTTAAATGTAGTTACTCCTTCCATTTTATCACGGTGTCCTTGAAATTCTTGCTTGGGTTTAAGACTCTGAGGAGGAAGAACATCGCCATATTTTGGATAATTTTCTGAATACTCCGTTGTGGGACAATATATGCCAGAATGTTCATAAACCCTTGTGGTTCCGTGTGGACAACGATGCCGTCTGTACAAACAAATAAACTGAAACATTATTTTGCCTTAAAAGCATTTCCTGTGGTTATTGCATGTTAACAGGATTCCCAATGAACTCACCACTTTGAACTTTAGCACATCTTACTTCTCTGCATTGCAGCTTATAAAAATAATGAGTAAATTACAGTGTAGCCTTATGTAGCAGAAACTGGTTTTGCTCATAACAGTTTAGTGACTCCTTATGCTACTGAAGTAGTAAAGCTAACAAGTGAATTTCCTAGATGTCTGGCAGACAATTTTTCATTTTGGTTTCACCTAGAACAGATACTTACAAGTGACTCTGATTCAGAACATAGCTACAAATGGATGTTGAGGCAGAGCACAACATCCATTTTTGGCAGTGGTTGTAGGGCAAGGAATACAGCAGAGGTCAAGAGGGACTGGAACTGGGAGATGTTAGGCAGCCTCCTGATTACACATCTTTATTCTTCCACGTGTCTAAGAAACTTCAAGTCAGAAGAGTCAAGAGACTCAGCAATGGCCCCTGGAAGTGAGGCTGCTATCAAGTGTTGAAGTGATTTTGTCCCATGCAGGGTCCAAGACACTCAGGAAAATCCAGGAGCAGAGTACCCAGGTCAGGTATAAATAAAAGTTCTGATAGAACTGCATTGATTAACAAGACACAAGTCAACACATTGGGATTTGCCACTGTTTTTATGTCCACCAAAGTACTGCCTTCACACTGTAGTATACCAGAGACTGTGGACAAATATAAGAGAAAAAAAGTGCAGACAAATTATAAAAGACATCAAAAGCCTCGCAACCTAACATTTACAATCCTTAAAAGAAAATTTTCTTTCTTCTGCTTTATAGTTTTTCTGGTAGTTATAGCTGTTTACAGCTGTTAAATCTTTCTCTTTTTGAAGAAGCATCTCATAGAAATGATGAAATTGGCTGGGCATGGAGGCGCACTCCTAAAATCCCAGCACTCAGGAGGCAGAAGCATGTAGGTCTCTGTGAGTTCCAGGCCAACCTGTTCCTGAGTTCCAGGACAGGTAGAACAGTTACACAGAGAAACCCTGCTTTACAAAAAAAAAAAAAATGAAATTAGATGTTCCTAATGGGAGATCAAAGGAATTGGATTTGAGGTTCATAAGAGAGAAAAGGTGGCATTATGGTTTGAATCCGAAATGCTCACATTTTGAATACCTGCTTCCCAGCTGATGGAACCATTCTGGAAGGATTTTGGAAGCTGGCACCTACCTGGTAGAAGTAGGTGGCTAATGGCAGTCCTTGAAAGATGATAGCCTGGTTCTTGATTCCAAAGGCTCTCTACTTCCTGGTCTGCCAGCATGTAAGAAACCTTGTTTCATGTTCCAGGACAAGAACTCCACCATATCTGACAACATGGCCTTTGGAACTTCATGCCCAAATGGACCTTTCTCCTGTCTGGTATTGCTACCACAGTGATGCAAACACACCTAACAGATGGTCTTCAACAACAAGAATAGGGAAAGATCTTCCCTCTTTCCTTTCCAACAGGACAGGAGGCAAAAGGTGGGGTGGAGAGGGATGGTGGTGAAGAATCTTTGTCCCATTCTAAGACAGTGTCCCATAGAGGTAGCCACATTTTAAAACCATTGGCTGAATGGAACTATGTGTGTCATACACAGTAACTCTTCATTTTGTCAAAGATTCTTATGCCTCATTTATAAAAATGAAAGCAGCAGATCACTGCCTCGAAAGAAACTAAGCTTCTGCAAGGGACACTTCAGCAGAAGTTACTAGCCATGCCCCAAAGCTTAAAGGGGCTACTTCTTACACTGGCAGTGCCCCACCTCTTTGGATAATATTATTTGAATAATGAGGAGTCCCCAATACAGTGAGTTTCTTGATGACTGGATGGGAAAATAACTTAGGCTGTAAATAAATTCAGATTAAATAATTTTTTTCTTACACACCAGGTTTTGTAGATTCACACCTTAAAAGTTGTGTTTGCACCCATACTTACATACAATGTTTATTATGAAAAAGGCAGAAAAACTGCTTTCAATCAACATGTATTGTAGGTGGTTGCCCCTAGAAAAGGATTAGAGATACAAAGGGCTTGAAATTATTCATATTTACTTAGCAAAGGTGATCTAATCCCTGGGTCAACAGTAAGGCTGAGGAAAGGGAAGAATGTGTTTACTGGTGGGGGAAGGTTGTTAGGCAGGATTTACTGAGGTTTAAGACTGGGACTACTGCCTTTGTTTGTTTGTTTGTCAGGCAGACCCTATGAGAACGCCGCCTGGACAGGAATAACAATAAGGTTTAGATGATGGAAAGCCCTAGGTTGTAAAGACCTTGGATACTGTTCTTTTAAATTAACCAACAGAAATGATGGGTGGGGGGCACGAACTCTCCCCGTCCAGATTCCATCACTTACTAGCCATATTTGCTCATACTACTTACCAGAAGGACTGTATTTCAGTTTAAATCTCTGAATAGGAAGTCTCGGGGATTACAAAGAGGAAAAGTTTTGCCCCAGGAGCCAGACAAGTAGAGAAAAAGGGGGCACTTTGCAGAGGGTAAGTGGGGGAGTCGCCGGGCACTCGCCCCTCAGGCAAGGAAGTAATGGGGGTTGCAGGGAGAAGTTAGCGGTGCTTACGGCCCCGCCGACCCCGCAGCGGCCGGCCGTTTCTTACCCGCAGGTGCAAATCTGACACAGACACCTGTTCCTCATGCCCTTGGCTCCAGCGTCCTTCTCCGCAGAGCTTCAGGCGCAACCTCAGAGCAGCCACAGCGTCTGCAGTCGTCAAGGCAACCGCGGGATTGCACGATGAAGGGCGTGACGTGACTTCCGGTGGCGTTCAAGACGCGCGCGGGTCAGAGGTCGCAGGCCTGTAGGCCCCGCCTCCCGGCGCCTGCAACTTCCGGCCTGAGTTACTCCTGGAGCCTTAGAGGCGTGAGTGAAGAGCAGCGTGGAGCCGGTGAGTGGGGGGCCTGCCGGAGATGCCGGCGACCGGACGGTGGTGGGGACCTGGGGGCTCGTGGCGGCAGGGCTAGGCGAGCAGGGCACGGAGCAGCTGCACCTCGTAGGAACCTGGGACCCTCCGGCAACGACTCCCGGAGCCCGAACAGAGGAAGAGCTTGCAGACCTCGGTTTGCCTTTTTAATTGGAGAGGGATGGGCGATGTGTCATGCACCTGCTGTGTTCCCAAGCACGAGATCCAAAACTTTTTAAGGACATTCGGTGCAGTCTCGGCTGAGATCCTTAGGTCTGGTAAAAGCCAGCACGCTTGACAGGAGCGACAGGTTTTCGGAGGGGAAGTGGAGAAGAGAGAGATACCCACTTTTCCTGTGGTCGCCTTGAGCCACGGTACCTGGGTGCGAGGTGTCACTTAGCTGGGCGTCTCTGCACTCGGCTCCCAGCTGCGTGATTCATCGCGCCGCAGATCCGGAAACTCCCAGCACACTCCACAAGTGCTGTAAAGGTGTGTGGACTTTGCAGTGAAACTTGTTCTTGGGCTTGCACTGTCCTAACCCGTCAGAGGCAGAAGGAATTAAATGTGGCTAACCATTCCTTGGGGTCTCAGTTGAGAGATCTGAGGCGGCTTGTGAACACCAGCATCTGTCTCTCAGTCCGTCCACTTTTGTTGTTGTTGTTTTCTCCCTGACCCTTAAACTTTGTACCACTTGTAATTTGCATTTAATTTTTTAGTCACAGGATATAAGTAACCATGGTGCTCAATGGCGTTGATAAGATGATTCAACTTCAGAAACACACTGCCAACATCAGAAATATCTGTGTTTTGGCTCACGTTGACCATGGTAAGACTTTTTAAAAAATGGCTTTTTATTAACAAAGGGGATGTTTCTACGTATCATTGGAGTTATGAAAGTGATGCGTGCTGTGTTTTTTTTTTTTTTTTTGTGTGTGTGTGTGTGTGTGTGTGTGTGTGTTGTCAGAGAAGCATGCTGTAAAACATTTGTAATAGGTTACCTGGTAATTAGCATTCTTCTGCATAGGATTTCATATGCTTTTAAATTTGAACTTGAATCTTTGTTAAAATATGGATAAGTTTTTGAAATGTTAAACATCTACGGTCTTGGTAGAGGGTATCCCCGAGGGACCTTACTTAATTCATCACATACTGAATGAGCATTTGCTAAGTTTGTGGCATTTTGTTACATTTATCAAGAGCTAGACATCTCTGAGGAGCCCAGCTGCCCAGCTGTAGAGGTTTCAGGGATGAATCTGGGCAACATGATGAGATGGGGGAGGGGGGAATTGATAAGAGTTTTGAGAAATGGAGGATTGGGTAGCCAGATTGGGTTAAGAAAAGCTGTCAGATATGCCTTTTGAGAGGAGACTCTAGCTGATAGGTGGGGACAAGCATTTTAAGTGGCAGTGTGTGAACAGGGACAAGAGTGACTAAAGTGTAGATACAGCAAAGGCCCGGTTAGCTAACACTTGTTTGTGGGATTAGGGTAGACATTCCTTGACACCATCAAACTGCTTCATTCTGAGTCTGCTTGCCAGTTGGAACTTTTTCTTCTAGTAGCTGCAGCTCAGTTTAGAATGGCCTGTGAAGTCAAAACCACTCAGCATTTTAAAGGTGAGGGAGTGGCTGGGGAAGAGGCAGGCTAGGTCCTGTCTCTTAGAGCTTTTCAAGCCTGCAAGGCTCTAAGAGAAGGATTAAGTGTTCTAGCTCTGTAGTTAGACATCCTAAACTCTGAGTTCTTTTCAAATTACTTTGCCTATTTGAGCTTCAGTGAACAGCCTATGTAAAAGGATGGTTATGAGAACCATTCAGCAATGAAATACTTAGTCATGAAAATCGTGAGTAACATTTTTTTTATTATTGTGTAGGGAGCCATGGAGGGAAAAAGCAAGCAAGGGTGAAGTACTACATTCAGCAATGAAATACTTAGTCATGAAAATCGTGAGTAACATTTTTTTATTATTGTGTAGGGAGCCATGGGGGGAAAAAGCAAGCAAGGGTGAAGTACTTATAGATTTGATTAGACTGGTATAGGTGCTTGGGTGGGTTGAAAGGCAGAAAAGAGGCTGGATGACTCTTGGCATTAATGTGAGCTCTGAAGAGAAGGTAGTATAGAAACTGAGATAATGGGTCACTTTGTAGGAAGAACCAGCTGAGATTGGTTCTTTTATATACAAATCAGTGTCTAACTTATCCTATGGGTTTTATGATTATATGCAAGTTTGGAGGATATGAGGTCTAGCCAAAGGTTTTACTTTGTTTCTTTTTCCCTTTCTGTTTCTGTTTCTGTTTTGTTTTTGCTTTGAGAACTAAATAGATTGACCAGTGTGTATGAAACATTGTTGTCTAAGAGGTTCAGCCTTGTTTAGTAATGGGAAGTTCGCATATTTAGAATAAATTCTACTCTGTTGCACAGCAGGAAACTGAGATTCTAGGATTACATACTAAAACACATTATTTAAGATCGTCAGAGGTCCTTTTGAAAAACTGGATTGAAGGAAAAATCCAACCATTTGTTAGGCCTACCCAACTGTGGAAATTGAATGTGTCCATGTCATTCTTTAAACACAGGTACCTATTCATGACTCTTGAAATTGTGTTAACTTTGGCAATAGTCTGATAAAGGTAACTGTAAATGTATATTGATTATGCAAAAACTTTTCTTTTATTGTAAAGTAGATTTCAGGTTTAGTTTTGAAACTGGGTTACATTGGCTGCTCTGGTGTACTGCTCCATAGGCTGCACTGCAAACAACAGGAAAACAAGTTTTCTTATTAAATAAGTGAAACAGTTTAACTAGCAAATGTTGTTGAGGGTCACACATAGGTAATTATGAAAGAAGACAGTGTGCTGTCATTTCCTAGTGACGATTTACCCATCATAGCTTCCTGAGGTAAATGTTATTGCTGTCCTTGTGACATTCTGAGCCTTTAGAGCCTAAGTTTATAAGTATGATCAGTTGTGAGAGACGGTTGGTAAATTATTAATTGATTTCATAAATGCTAGATTATAGTAACTAATATAAACATTGTACAAGATGATCTGTATTTTGATTCTCCTAGTGGTTTATCTCACCAAAGTCATATTTTACTCTGTAAAGTCTGCCTCAATTTAAGAAGATTTCTGTGCTTAAAATTAATCTGACAACTTTTCAAGTGAAATTGGTGAGGCCACAGGTAGAAAATATAGCACTGTTGAATGCTTTAAACAAATGTATGGTAATTAATGTTATTTTAACAGGAAAAACTACCCTTGCTGATTGTCTTATATCTAGTAATGGAATCATCTCCAGCCGTCTGGCGGGCAAGGTATGTTCTAAGATTTGGTAAATATTTGTTGCATTTTAATGAGTATTAGCTTTCTATAATGTCATGATCCATTTTCATTGTTCTTTAGTGATCTAAACATGTAGAAGGAACTGACAGTCCATTAAGTTATGATCAAATAAGTGTTGAGAAAAGTTTACTTCTATATTGCTTTTTATTGCATTGTATTAATCTGATACTGTGTTGAGTGCAGAAGTGACTTGTGACAAATCAGCCATTACTTGATTTCAAGATTTCAAAGGTGGATGTGTTGGCTGTGTTGAGAGGAAGGCAGAAAAGCCATTATGCGCTGGAAAATAGAATAAAGACCAGTTTCTTTGTGTTGTACTTGATTTGAATGGAACTAGTGCCTAGAGATCAAGAGAATGTAACAAATTACATAAGACCTTGAAAATTAGCCCAGGTAATTTAAGAACCAAAGGAAGGCTTGAGGATCTTGTTGAAGATACTGCTTTAGGGGCTGGTGAGATGACTGAGAAGGTAAAAGAGCTTGCTCTGGGGCCTGAAGTCCTGCATTAGGTCCTTGGGATTCACATGGTAGGAGTGGAGAACACATTCCTACAAATTCTCCTATGACTTTTATGCATGGTATGTGTGCATGTATCTCTCTCTCTCTCACACACACACACACACACACACACACACACACACACACACACACACACACGTAAGTACAATTTTTAAAAGGAAGAGTGTTTGTTCTAGCTTTAAGTTCAAAGAGTTTAGAATAATTATCTTCATAGTCCCAAAATAAAATACTTCTCTCTGTAATGGACCTAGTATCTAGTATGTAATCAATAGGATGCATGAGGAATAATGAAATGGGAAAACAGAGAAATAAAATAGATCCAGGAGACTTAGAAGATTGTTGGAGTTCTGAGGCCATTTGTGTGGGAGCTGGCAGATTGGGTTTAATACTGAAGCACTCGAGTTCCTCCAACTTGAAAAAGTAGAGAGAGTGATAGTACCCAAAGTAAGATGAAAGAAGATAAAGTGTAAGCAAGTGAGGGAGAAAACCGATGCTTTATAGAAAGCACCAGGGAAGCCAAAGACAACCACTAACAGATGTAAAAAGGATAGCCACACTTAAAATATATACCTTAATATAAGCTGGCTTCAGTAACCATCACTATTGGTTCATCAGTTGTTAGAAGGCAGCATATCACACAGTAATGAAGATGTAAATAATAAGAGAAGCCATTACCAGGATGTTTGTGAGAACTGCTATACTTATTACATTTTCTGTAGACATAAATTGTTTTAAACTATGAAGTTTACTAATTAAAATTACAGCAGTGTAAGCAATTTGTGAGCCCTGTGAATAAAACCTTATTTTGCTTTTTTATTTTTAATTTTCTCTCTTGAAGCATATTTGTTACTTTGACCAGCTAATGCTACTTTCTGTGGCTCACTGTACTTAAGAAACATATGAAATATAGCTTATATAAAGACAGATTTTCTTAAATCAATGACTTAAAGATTAATATAACTGACAATATCAGCAAGATTGGTAAAGAATGAGAAATAGATGATGCTAGGAAAGAGAAATGCTATAGAGATTTAGGTAATAGATTATAACAAACAGCTTCATGTCAATAAACGTATTACTGTGATCATTTAAGAAATTGTTTTGGTTAGGAAAAATCTTTCACTGATAAGCCCAGATGGCTTAAATACATAATTAAATATGCGTGTCTAGTTTAACTGTCTATATGGTAGTAAGAACGAACAATTTTTAAAATATATATCATTTATTTTTATCTTGTGTTCATTAGTGTTTTGCCTGCATGTATGTCTGCATGAAGGTGTCAGAAGCTCCAGAACTAGAGTTAAAGACAGTTGTAAGCTGCCATATGGGTGCTGGGAATTGAACCTGGGTCCTCTGGAACAGGAGCCAGTGCTCTTAACTGCTAAGCCATCTCTCCAGCCTCAAGAACAAATAATTTTAGTTCTACCTGAAATAGTAAAAATAATAGAGGAGAGAGACACAACAATGGGCCATATTCACCAATCACAGGACATACTCACCAAGTCCTAGGAGTACGTGATCGTCCAAAAGTCCTTTCAAAGGTAACCTAGGGCAGGAAAATTCCATGTCAACCTTCTGATTGGGA